GTGTGAGCTGCGCGCTGAGGACAGCCGCGCGAGATCTGCTTATTGCTGTGGCCTCTGCAAATGGCAGAAGCACCAAAGAAAAAATGATAATGCATTTTGAGGGGGACATTTTGAGGGGGAGTTCATGCCACTGCTGCTCTGTCCTTCGCGTCGGCAAGTAACCGGTGCCCCGATCGGTGCTGCCAGTCCGTTGGCTATGAAGCATCGCTTGGCAGACGAAAGACAACAAACATGGAGCTGTTCCTCTGCGAAATGTTGAGATTGGAGACGGAAGATTTCTGCAAGTAACGGATTAAGAGTTCTTCCGCGAAATGCGGGCGGTGGCACCTCGACTGGTGGACGCTTCGCAAAACTCCACCGGGCTTGTAACGGGCGTTTGGGCGTGGGGAAATAAGGATAAGGGCTATTCAAATAAATTAGCATTGCTACTTGAAGTAATTCAAATCCCAAGTTTTCGTTGTTGTTGTGGTTGAAAGGTATATTGAACTTGTGGCGCCGGCAGGCTATGGTCCACCCGCCTCCGCAGCCGACGGACGGGGCCTCTGAAACGGCGGCGGAATGGGATCTTCTTGTCTTCGAGGTATTGCGTTAACGATTGTGTAAATTAAAACCATTTAAATATTGTTCTTCACTCATGCATATAATATAGACCGGATCCGGTTAAAAAAACCTACGGATTAGAGAGAGGAAGCGCCTCAGCATTCATGAACCAGCAGGCTAAGCAAGGGTTCGTCGCGGTTACCTCCGCAAGCCAGCCACAACTCAAAAGCTCTATCTAGGAAGGAATACATAAATATTGTCCTTTGCTAAAGCAAAAAGACATCTGCAAGCTTTCTTTACTTTGTTTGGTTGGAGTGTTTCAACTCTTCCCGCTCAGCGTTTCCTTCTGACCCACAGGCTCGGGGCAGCGCCAGAGAACCCATATCGTCGATCGATTGTTTATTGTATTATTCTGCTGTCTTTAACCTAATTTAACTCATTTTTGGTGTGTTTTTTGAAGGTTCGAACCATTGCCAATGGAGACGAGTTACTCATTTCCGTGCCTTCTCCCCTCTTCGCAGCGAACAGTAGCCGCGATCAATTCAACTGTGCAAAATGGCAGAGAGAAAGGCTGTAATTGCATTTTAACTGTAGCGAAAACGAGTGAAATTGAAAAATTTATACTTTCTTTCTGCTTGAGAAATGAAACTAAAACACTTTTCGTCCTTCTTCTCTTGCTGAATCGAAACCGAGTGGTGTTTTATTCTCATATCCTCTTTTGAGACAGAAAACGGTCAGACCCTAAAACCATCAGGAAAGAAAACACAAAGTGTTGGGGTAGCCAAAGATCAAACCCAAATGAAAGGCTGAAGAAAAATATAAATGTTTCTAGTTGCCGTTCAGATGTAGGAGAATACAAAGGCGTGTAGAATACACAGATATTCAGTTTCAGTTTATAAGAACATAAATACAAAGACTTTCACTTTCAATTCATGAATAGAGGGAGAATGTGTTCTTGTTTTTGAATTGAAGCTGGACATTTTTTCGTAGTGTTTGTTCTACTTCTGCAACTCCAACTGGATCTCTCCGTAGTTTCCTTCTCCTTCTAGATCCAAACCAAAAATATTTGTATTTGCACTCTCCTTCCTATAAATTGAGTTTTCCATTTCTGGTTTGTATAGGGAGCAGGCGAAAAGAAGATAACGAGGGCAGCTTCATGAGCAGCGGCGCTGCTGGGCCTCAGCTCAGCAGTTGAGGCTTTAAATGCACTAGACCCCGATAAAAGAAAGGCTAGAAAGAAAAGAAAGACAAGAAGATTATTTGTATGCCTAGGGGGTTTCTAAGGGGTCTAAGACCGCAACGCCGCCCGAAATCTCCCCAGAACATTCTAGTCACAGGGCAGTGGGGTTGCTTGCCGCTCGCTGCGACTAGCTGCAGCTAGCTGCGACTCGCTACACCTAGCTACATCTAGCTGCATTTAAGTGTATAAAAAGCTAGCCAGCTACTCACTAAGTGGGTCAGCAACGCCCCTCTATAGCATAATAACTCCTGCATATGTTGTGGCAACGTCAGAAGAAGCTGCAGGGAATACAACTGTAGTAGGGATTGATTTTATTTAAAAGGAATATCAAATGGGCTCCGACTTTGGCGAAGCGATTCAAGTTTAGATTCGCCCCCCAACTCCGGTGTATCCCGAGGTGATATTCAATGAACTATTTACTGAACCCCCAAAAGCTGATAACCCCCCAACCTGAATCAGCGATCTCATTCAGTAGGAGGAGACGTGAGCTCTTTAGACAATACAATGAAGACAAATTGTAAAGAAACAGAAAGAACAAGCAACAACAGAGAAGAAATGCCTCTTTTCAAGATGTAGCAACAGCAGAGGGAAACTGTCGCCGTAGCAGAACCCAAAGCCACACACACAGCCAATGCGCAACTAGAAAACAGACTAAACAAACACTTATCTGGAGTTGCTGCGGCTGCGCGCTCCTCCCCTCTCGCTGATGCCCCGCTCTACTGCAGCACCGTATCTGGGGTCGTCTCTGGAGTCGTGTCTGTACTGCCCTTTGGGATCCCGTCTGGGATCGTCTCTGGGATCGTCTCTGGAATCATGTCTGTATTCCTCTTTTGACTCCCGCCTGGGATCGTCTCTGGGATCGTCTCTGGAATCGTGTCTGTACTCCTCTTTTGACTCCCGCCTGGGATCGTCCCTGGGATCGTCTCTGGAATCGTGTCTGTAGTCGTCTTTAGGATCGCGTCTGGGATCGTCTCTGGGATCGTGTCTGTAGTCGTCCTTAGGATCCCGTCTGGATTCGTATCTGCGGTCATCTCTGGGATCGCGTCTGGGATCGTCTCTGGGATCGTATCCCGGGGAGGCCCCGACGCGGTTGCCCCTGCTGCTGCTGCGCCTCCACCCTCGGGAGTCTCTGTAGCGGCCTCCTCCCCCACGCCAGCGGTAACTGTCTCCTTCTTGCCTTCCTCCTGGGGCCCTTTGGGGGCCCCTCCACTGCCCCTCTGTCTCTCTGCGGTCGTCGGGCCTCCAGCGCCTGGGGGCCCAGTAGTGGCTGTGCCCCCCTCCTCTGTCTCTGCCTTCATCTCTGTCTCCGTAGCAGTGATGGCGGTGCTTCAAGTCTCTGTCTCTTTCCCTGTAGTCCCTGTAGTTGTCTCTGCTTCTGTCTCTCGCGCCGTACATATCTCTGTCTCTGTATCTATACGCATCTCTGTCTCTGTCTCCCTCTCTATAATCGTCTCTGTCTCTGTCTCTGTCTCTATAGAGACTTCTTCTGTCTCTGTCTCCCTCTCTGTCTTTCTCTCTGTCTCTCGTTCTATAGGGGCTCCGCCCCCTAGAATCCCTTAATGAAGGAGACAACGAACGACTCATCTCCCCACGCCGTCGTCTGTAGGCTTCGTTGCTGCTGCGACGGCTGATGCTGATGCTGCTGCTGCTGTCTCTTCTTCTTCCGTCTCTGGGTCTGCTGCCGCTCCTGCTGCTGCTGCGCGTCCTCGGGCGCCGCTGCTGCTGCTGCGCTCCTGCTGCAGCTGTCTCCTCCTCCCCGTTCATCCGCGACCCCTTGCCTGTCTCCTTTCCAAAGCCTCGCCTCCTGAACATGTTGCTGCTGCTGTCTCCGCCGCCGCTGCACTGAGACCCCTCCTCCCCTCTATCTGCTGCTGCTGCTGCTCGCTCCTCCCTCTCTCTCCGGCTCTGCAGGGGGGTCCCCACAGGGGCAGCAGGAGATGCTGAAGAGCTGTCTGAGCCCCTACGGCTCCTCCCACGGGTCTCCTCATCCGCAGCAGCAGCAACAGCAGCCGCACCGGGCTGTGCGTTGCGCCAGATGGGGGATGGAGACGCATCGCCGTTCGGATCTGCTTCTCCCTCGCGCCCCTCAGCACCCTGAGCAGCACCAGCAGCAGCTGCTGCTGCTGCTGGGGCCGATGCTGCATCACCGACCGCTGTCTCCTCTGGTGCTGTCACTCGTATGGCCTTGGGGAGGCCCAAGCGTCTCTCGTGTCTCTCTTTTGCTGCTGCTTCTGCTGTCTTGTTTTCTTCGTCTCCATCAGCCACTGCCTCCGCAGCAGCAGCAGCAGGAGCAGCGGGCTTCTCGGGTGTTGTGAGAGAGGGGGACTGCTCCATTTCTTGCTGCTGTTGCTGCTGATCATTGCTGTCGTTGGCAGCGGCAGCGGCAGCAGCAGCTGCTGCAGCACCTGGTGTCTCTCCCGCTGCCAGCAGGTAGGCTTCCGCGAGGGCTGCAGCAGACGACTCGTCGGCGCCCCCCTGAGAAGCAGCAGACCGCTGCTGCTGCCGCTGCTGCATCAGCTGCTGCTGGGCACTCTTCGACAGTACAATTCTTATCTTCGGTTTCGCCTCCAACAATCCCAAATACTTCTCTGCTGCTCTCCCGCTGTCTCCGGGGCCCCCAGGGGCCCCCTGAGCATCTTGGGGGCCCCCCTTAGGCCCCAACCCCTCTCCGGGAGCCCGCAAGAAGGGCAGCGCAGTCTCAGTTTTCACGCCGTCTCCTGCTGCTGCAGCTGCTGTTTCGGCTGCTGCGGTCGGCTGCTGCTCGGCTGCAGCAGCAACTTGCGTTGTTGCTGCAGCATCTGTTGTTGCTGCTGCTGCCTGCTGGCTTACGCCTGGGGCAGCTGCACCTGCGGGTGCAGCGACGCCCCAGCGGCTCCTCCACTTCGATACGCGTCCCTCTGGCTTCGCAGCAGCAGCAGCAGCGGTGGCGCTGCTGCTGCCGTTCCCCACACCACTGGCAGCAGCAGTATCAGCAGCAGCAGGCTCACCTCCTGAATGCCCTCCTGCTGAGACCTGCTCTTGCTGCTTCTGCTGCTGCTGCTGCTGCTGCTCCGCAAGAGCCGCCTTAACGGAAACGTCAACACAACCACCCTGCATCCCTGCTCCGCTGCTGTTACGTCGGCTGTGCGCCGAACGCTCAGCAACAGCAGCAGCAGCAGCAGCACTTGCTGTTGCTGCTGCATTGCTGCAGCTGTGACGCTTCCTACTGGGGCTTCGGCTGTCTCCTTGCCCGCAGCTGCCCCGTCTCTTCCTGTTTCTCCTGCTGCTGCTGCTTCTGCTTCTGCTGCTGCGCTTTAACGCTGCTACATCCGCTGCTCCGCGCATTTGCTGCTCCCTCCGGTCTGCTGCGGGAGAAGGCCTTCTGGCTGCTGCAGCAGGAGCAGCAGCAGCAGCTTCCCGATCTCCTCGGCGCTGCACTCTGCCCCTCATACTGCTTAAGCTGCTGTGACGACTCCTACCAGAAGGGCTTCGGGGGCGTCTCTCCTCAGATCCCATCCCCCGATCTCGGGATCCGATCCCACGATCCCGGGATCCACCCTCACGATCCCTCAATCCGATCCCACGATCCCGCGATCCACCCTCACGGTCTCGCGATCCGATCCTACGATCCCGGGATCCGATCCCACGATCCCGCAATCCAAGCTCACGATCTTTGGATACGCTCCCACGATCTCGGGGTACGACCCCACGATCCCGGGATCCGATCCCACGATCCCGAGGTTGGACTTCACGATCTCGAGATCCGATCCTCCGATCTCGGGAACCGATCCCACGTTCCCGAGATCCGATCCCAGGGCGCCGTGAGTCTGGGCTAATTGTGGGGCGGCGGCGCCGGCAGCTGGTGCTTCGCTGCCTACTGTCTTGGCTGCTGCGCCTTTGCTGCCTTCTGCTGCTGCTTCTGCTTCTGCTTCTGCTTCTGCTGCAGCTGCGCCTCCCGCAGCTGCGCCTCCCGCGTCTGCTGCTGCGTCTGGGTGAGGGGCTTCGCTTGAAGCTGTCTCTCTGGTTTGCTGTATCTCTTGTAATGCCTCTCCCTCCCCTCTCCCTATCAACACTGCCGCTGCGGGGGCCCCTTACTGCACTGAAGCTCTTCCCGTCACCCTCTACCTCACGCCTGGGGCTGCTGCGGATGTTCCGGGGGCTCACGCTCCTGCTGCAGGGGCCCCTAGGGCCCCTAGGGCCCCCCCTCCTCCCCTTCCCTCCTTCGGGGGAAGCTACGGAGGGGCCCCTTGACGGGGCTCTCGGGGGGCCCCTGGCTGAGGGGCTTCTGAGGGGGCCCTTGGAAGAGGGGCTCCTCGGAGAGCCCTTTGGTGAGAGGCTCCTGGATGGAGGGGGCCTCAGGGGGCCCCTCGGAGAGCCCTTAGGTGAGGGGCTCCTGGGTGGGGGGGGCCTCAGGGGGCCCCTCGGAGAGCCCTTAGGTGAGGGGCTCCTGGATGATGGGCCCCTCAGAAGGCCCCTGGGAGAGCCCTTAGGTGAGGGGCCCCTGGATGAGGAGCCCCTCAGGGGGCCCCTGGGTGAGGGGCCCCTCAGGGGCCCCCTGGGAGAGCCCTTAGGCGAAGGGCCCCTGGGTGAGGGGCCCCTCTGAGGGCCCCTGGGAGAGCCCTTGGGTGAGGGGCCCCTGTGTGAGGGGCCCCTAGAGGAGAGGCTTCTGGAGGCCCTGTCTCGGTGAAGGGTTCTACGTGTCTTGGTAGCAGGCGAAGGGGGCCCCTCGTCTCCTTCTCTGTGAAGGCTGTTTGTTTGTCGCTTGCAGCCGCTGTTGGGGGCCCCCTGATTCGCGCTGCGGCTTCTGCTGCTGCGTCGACGGGGTGAGCAGCGAGGGCTACGGATGTTAAGACTTCTGCTGCTGGAGCCTCTACGGGGGCCCCCCGCCCTCCCTGTGGGGCCCCCTCTGCTGCAGCTCCGCTCTGCAGCACTTCTGCTTCTGCCGCTGACGCTGCTGCTGCGCCTGCGGGTGTTAGGGCCCCCCAGTTGCTGTCTACCTCGATCCTTCCTGCTGCTGCGGCTGCTGCTGCGATATCGGCTGCTGCTGCGGCTGCTGCTGCTGCGGCGGATGGGCCCCCGTCGAGGTGTAGGGCTGCGGGGCCCCTCTCGCGTCCACCTCCTGTCTCTGCTCCCTACAGGGCTGCATGCATCTCTGTTGTAGGGGGCCCCCCGGGGGCCCCCACCCCTTCTGCTACCCCTGACCTCACTGGGGCTGCGGCTGCTACCATAGGGGCCCCTCCTTCCCCAGTTGTCTCTATACATATCCGGGCCCTGTCTCCATCCAAACGGAGGTCTTCGGGGGCCCCCCCGGGGGGCCCCCTCCAGCACTAAGCGGATACGCCGGCCGCTGTAGAGGGTACCGTCGAGACATCTCACTGCTGTCCTTGCATCTCTGCAAAAAGAAAAAGAAATAAACAAAAAAGATATAGAGCCAGATGCAGCACATATATATATACCGCTATATATATATATATATATGCATGATGGATACACCTGCATGTATACCTGAGGTGTACGTACACCCGAATTTGCATGCAGCGATATTTGTTTTACCTCCAATCGCAAAATTCAGCCGTCGCCTCTGTCGAACTTCGAAGACGATCTAAACTCGGCAAAGCAGCAAGACGCCCATACTGCAGCAGCAGCAACAGCAGCAGCAGCAGCAGCAGAATGCATGTATGCATGCACTTGCCTCGAAACAGCGCCGCATGCAAGCACTTTGTGCGGGCTGCGGAGTGTACAGACACCTCAAATAAATAAATAAATCGATAGACGTCTTGAAACAAAAAAGAAGACAAACAAAAACAAAGAGAGACGGAGACACAAGGAGGCAAACAAAAACAAAAAAAGATAAACAGAGACAGAGGGGGAGACACCGATAAAAGGAGACAGAGACAGAAAGAGACAAACGGAGACAAAGACAGAGACAGAAAGAGACAGCGACAAAGACAGAGACAGAAAGACAAACAAAGACAAAGACAGAGACAGAAAGAGACAAACAAAGACAAAGACAGAGAGGCAAACAAAGACAGAGACAGCAAGAGACGCAAACACAGAGAAACAGACAGAGAGGGAGACAGACAAAAGCAAACAAAAACAAAGACAGAGACAAAGACAAAGACAAAGACAAAGACAGAGACAGGCAAACACAGGAGACAGTGCCAGCAGCAACTAAACCTCTTCACTGGCTATTTGTTTGTTTTCTTCTATTCTAAGTTCTTTGTCTCTAGGTCTACCCTCCATCTATTTATTTATTTATATATATATTTATTTATTTATTTAATCTTTAGTGCTGCTGCCCTCACCGCATCGAGCAAAGCCTCCGCTTCTCGAAAGGAAATGTCTTTGGGCAGGTTGGCGACGAATACGCAGTGCGGCTCTCTGTCTCTGTCTCTGTCTCTGTCTCTGTCCCTGTCTCTGTCCCTATCTCTTTCTCTGTCTCTGTATCTTTCTCTGTCTCCGTCTCTGTCTCTTGATTCTCTGTCTCTGTCTCTGTCTCCCTCACTGTCTCTGTCTCTGTCTCTTTGTCTTTCTCTCTGTCTGTCTCTGTCTCTGTCTCTGTCCCTTGACTCTCTGTCTCTGTCTCTATCTACTGATTCTCTATTTCTGTCTCTGTCTCTGCCTCCATCTCTGTCTCTATCTATTGACTCCCTATCTCTGTCTCTCTCTCTGTCTCTCTCTCTGTCTCTGTCTCTATCCCTGTCTCTATCTCTGTCTCTGTCTCTGTTCTTAACTCCTTCAACTTCGTTGTCTCTGCTGCGGCTGTGCAGGGAGCTGCTGCGGGGGCGGCGCTGCGGCCCCCGCGGTGAGGGAGAGGCCGACGCCATGAGGCCCTCTGCTGCTGCTGCTGCTGCTGCTTCTGCTGCTGTTGCTTGGGGTTGGTTTGGTGCTGTTGCTGCTGCTGCTGCTGCTGTTGCTGCTGCTGCTGCTGCTGCTGCTGTCGACCAACCCCCTTCCCGGTCCCTTGATGCCTGTGAATTCACTGTCTGCTGAGATAAGCAAGTTTAAGAAACTAGAGAAGAAGAGAAAAAGAAAAGAAAAGGAAGCAGCACAATTCTTTAGATATACGCAGAGAGCTGTGCATGCAACAGACTGCAGCAGCAGCAGCCATCGGCCGCTGCTGCATGTGGGGCGTCTGCAGGTGTAAGGAGGTTAGAGAAGGCTTTGCTGCTCCCTTTATGAATTCTTTTGCAATTAAAAAGATTAAAACAACTAAAATATTCAAACAAATATAAAAACAAAGGAAGAATTCAACCACAACGAAGCCCTACAGCCCCGAGTGCCTCTTTGCTGCTCTCCCAGGGGCTCCGCCGCTGCAGCGTAGCGGCTTGCAGCCTTTATAAGGAGAAATTGGGGTGTATATACACCTCAATATTAATTTTAATATATATATTTAAAGGATATTAATTTTCAAACTCAACAATCTGAGGTGTATAGACACCTCAATCTGTGCTATACCAGCCATATTCTTCTATAGCAGCAGATGCCGCTGTACTAGATAAGTGCATGCGCAGGTGTATGCGGGGTCTATGTACACAAAAAGAAATATTCTTTATTTATTTTAATTAATTGCAGTATTATTGCTTTCACAGAAAGGGAAATTAAACTATCTTTGCTCGTTTTGCTGCTGTTTATTGGGGTAGGAGAGGCTGCTACGTGTATAACCAGCATAGAAATAGAAGATGCTGTAATGATGTTGAAGTGCTTTAAACAATAAATTATTATTATTAAATAATATACTAATGTTACATTATATTTTTACTCAAATATTCAATATATAGTCTACTTTGAAGCCATATTATTGCCTTTCCGACTGCCGACATAACTACGACGAATGTACATACAGTTGTCCGGGGCCGCAGCAACACACCTTATTGCTGCAACACATGCTGCAGCAGCACCCATTATTGCTGCAGTATGTGCTGCAGCAGCACACCTAATTGCTGCAATTAGGTCTGCTGCAGCAGCACACCTAATTGCTGCAGTATGTTCTGCAGCAGCACCCATTATTGCTGCAGTTTGTGCTGCAGCAGCACACCTTATTGCTGCAGTTTGTGCTGCAGCAAGACGAAAACCCCACATGCAGCACTGCCTCTGCTGCATGCGCTGTCTTTGAGGAGAAGTGCTGCTATCTATCTATCTGTCGCTTTCAGTAGCCAGCCTACAAAAATATGCAGCAATATAAATGCATATCCACCGCCAGACAGTTATATAGTCGTTCTAGTTTGCTTCTGCTGCTGCGGTAGCTGGATACGTAGCTGGCTAGCTAGCTTGCTAGCTAGCCAGCTGGCGTAGCAGGTAGCTAGCTGGGTGGCTAGCCAGTGGGTTATTGCCCCTCAGTGTGTTTGTGCATTCGGGTGGTGCCCATACACCGCAGCGCAGCGCATGCACTGAGGTGTATAGGCTTTAACAGCAGCAGTCAGCTGCAACGCCTATCAGCCTCTTCTTTACCTCAATCATAAATAAAGTAAATACACCGCACGTGCTGCTAAACCAAACAACACTAGAAAAGGACAGATGAAGAAAACAAAAACAAAATAACAAATTCAGCGCAACCAAACAAAGCAAAGAATAACAAAATCGCTGCAAGAGGCCCTAAATGCCCTGAAGGGGCCCCCCCTTGTGGGGCCCCTCTATGAGGAGTACCTGAGAGCCCTTCCACGAGGGGCCCCCTCTGGGGGGCCCTAAATTTCCTGTAAGAAGGCCCCTAATGGCCCCTTTAGGGTGGCCCTTAAGGGCCCCTCCAAGAGGGGCCCCCTCTAGGGGCCCCTGAAGCCCCTTGACGGAGGCCCCTAGGGGCCCCTGTAGGAGGGCCCCTGTAGGGGCCCCCCTAGGGGCCCCTCCACGAGGAGCCCTTAATGGGGTCCATAAATCCCCTGGATGGGGGCCTCTAAGGTATCCTGTGGGGCAACCCTTAAGGGCCCCTATGGGGGGCCCCTAAGGGCCCCTGTAAGGCAACCCCTAAGGGCCCCTATTGGGGGGCCCATAAGGGCCCCTGTAGGGGGGCCCCAAAGAGGGATTAATTTCGCCTTGAGGCCCCTTAAACTGCGTGTGGGGTATAGGGAAGCCCTGGATATGTACAGTACAGCCTTAGGCCATAGGGGGCCCCCTGAGCACCCCCTAGAGGGCCCTTTAGGGGGGCCCCTCCCTACTGTCTGTTAGCAATTGAAGGGGGGCCCCTGTAGAAGACTAAGATGAAGATGAAGAGAAGTGCATGTCGCTGAGTTTACTTAGAAGGAGTTTGCGCTCGGAGAGAAGAAATCTTCTCCTCGAATCCTCAGCAGCAGACAGACCCCGTCTGTAACAAAACAAAATGCATGCACACGCAGTGTACGTACAGATACCGCAATATATATATATATATATAAAGATATATGTATACATATACAATATGCATATGTATATGTATTATATATATTATATATATTACATATATTATATATATAAGCAGATGTACCTATGCATACATATAGAAATAAGTATGTGTGTATATATAATATACATAAGAATGAATAAAAACAAAAGAGAGAAAGGAGAGCAGGAGACAGCAAGGAGACTCTAAGGGCCTCTGCATGCAGCTAACCTGGCTGCGAGTGCATGCAAGTCTTGTAAAACTCTCTCAATAGCAGCAACACGCAGAGACAAAGCCTCCTCCTCGCTCCCTTCGTCTTCCTCCTCTTCCTGCTGCTGCTGCTGCTGCTGCTGCTGCTGTTGCTGCTGATGATGCAGAGGCGAGGCGAGAGACTGCTGCATGCGCTGCAGTGTGGGTATTGCCCACGCCGTCGGCCGCTGAACGCGCAGCAGCAGCAGCAGCAGCAGCAGCAGCAGCAGCAGCAGCAAAGCAGCATAGCAGCAGCAGCAACAGCAGCAAAATGATGTGTTAGCGAGAGAAGCTAGAGTCTGTACATGTGAGGAGAGGCGGAGAACAGCAAAAGGAGACAGAGGAGACGAAATAAACAAAAAAAAGAAAATAAAAATGAAGAGGCCGACAGAAGAAAAAAAAAGACGAGACAAGAGACAAACATACAGAGAGAAAAGAAGAAGAAAGCAGAGAAAAAGATATATATATATATACATATATAGAGAGATATATAGATGTAGATATATATATATATATATATATATATATACAGATATAGATATACATATACATATATACATGAACATAGATATAGATATAGATATATAGATATAGATATAGATATAGATATATAGATATAGATATAGATATAGATATAGATATAGATATAGATATAGATATAGATATAGATATAGATATACAGATATAGATATAAAGATAGAAGAAACAGACAAAAGAAACAAATGAAGGAGGAGACACTGGAGACGGAGACAGAAAGAATTAGAAAAAGAAATAAAAAAGCAGAATGCGATAAAGATGCAGAAAAGAGACAGAGAAGATTTAACGAAGAAAACGAAGAAGAATATATAATAAAAATAAAAATAAAAATAAAAATAAAAATAAAAATAAAAAGAAAAAGAGATAAGAGACAAAGCCAGAAGATAAAACAAACAACAAAAAAGAAAGAAGGAGACAGAAGGAGAAAAGAAAACAGCAAAAGGAGACAAAACAATAAAAAAGAAAAACAAACAAAACAAAATAAAAAAGATATACGAAATAAGCAGAGGCAAATATATATAATAAACAAACTAAAACAAAAGAAACAGCTGAACAGACAGCAGAGACAGAGGAGACAACATAGAAAGAAGAGACAGCAAAGAAAGAGAAGAGTTAATATATAAAAAAGAAAGAAGAGACAGAAGAAAAAAGGAGAACGAAGAGACAAACAACAAATAGGAGACAGATTATATAAAAAGAAAGAAGAAGCAAAAGAAAGAAGAGACAGAAGAAAAAAAGAAAGAAGAGACAAAAGATAAAGGAGACAGAAGATAAAAGAAGAAAGAGACAGAAGATAAATGAAGCAGCACCCACTGCTCTTTTGTTTGCTTCCCTCAGCAGCCGCAGCACTCTTTCTGCTGCTGTTTCTCCAGGCAGAGACAGCGGAGAAGAGACAAATAAATCTCTACCCTGTTCCTGCTGCTGCTGCTGCTGTTGCTGCTGCTCTTGTTGCTGCTCTAGCTGGCCCTGCTGCTGTTCCTGTTTCTCCCCCTGTTGCTGCTGCTCCTGCTGCTGTTGCTGCTGCTGCTCCTGCTGCTGCTGCTGTTGAAAAGCAGCAGCTTCTTCTGGGTGTGTCTCCTCGTGTAAGAGAAGGGCCTCTAGCAGCTCTCCGACTTCCTGCAGCGCAGCAGTGAGGTGTACGTACACCGCAGCAAGCAGCAGATAATCTGCTGCAGCAGCAACTGGATTGCAGCAGCCATAGCAGGAAATGCAGCAGCAGCAGTAGCAGCAGCAGCAGTAAACACAGTTAGCAGAAGCAAATGCAGCAGCAAATATTCAGCGCCCCCAAGAAAAGAGAAATAGAGAGAGAAATGCAGCAGAAATAAAAATATAAAAAACAAAAAGGAGACAGAAAGAAAGAGACAGCCAACCTGCAGCGAACAACCAGACGTCCGTCTCTCCTCCTGCGATAAACATACACACCCACACAAAACATCAAACTGCTGCTGCTGCTGCTGCTGTTGCTGCTCCACTTGCTGCTGCTAGGCTAGCTGCCTTCGCTTGTGCTGCTGTTTCTGCTGCTGCTGCTGCTGCTGCTGGTGATGCTTCACTTGTTGGTGCCAGGCTAGCTGTCTGTGCTTTTGCTGCTGCTGCTGATGCTGCTTTTTTTTTGCTGCTGCTGCTGCTGCTGCTGTTGCTGCTGCTGCTGCTGCTGTATCTTACAACGGCTCTGCCTCGGCCCCTGCGGACGAAGTCTGCGCAAATTTTACTTTTGGTGTTAAACCCAAGCTGAAAATAAAAAAAAATAAAAAAGAAAAAGAAATATAATAATGAGACAGCAAAAATAAAGAAAGGAGAAGATATAGAATAAAGAGACAGATAAAAAGAAAAGACAGAGAGACAACTCGCATGAGACAGAGAGAAGAAAGAGAGACGGGCGACATAAAGAAAATAAAAAAATAAACAAAAACAAACAAAGAAAATAAACATAAAAAGAAAAAGAAGACAGAGATAAAGAAAGAAAGAGAAAGAGAAGAAAGAGACAGAGAAACAAAGACAGAGACAGAGACAGAGACAGACAAACAAAAAGAAGAGACAGAGACAGAGACAGACAAACAAAAA